AGATACCCCAATTCAAGAACTAGATATAAAGTCGGAGAAGGAGGCCGCCCCTTCATCAATCTCCTCAACCTCATTCCAGCGAGGACTCAAGAGGAACCGATCCTGCCCCCAATCCGCACCTATCCTCTTCTGGATATGATTGAATGTTTAATCCTAGTCATTAATAGTTTGGCACCCACTGTGGGGGAATCTTTTTTTTTTGAGAAAACATGTTAAGTTCTAAACAAGGGTCTGATTAGCCTCACCCTGTAGAACGATATCAGAGCTACGCTACTCAAGCCAGCTCGAGGAAACAGTTCGGAAGATCTCTTAATCTTTCCAAGAGCAATTCACTGCCTTCTCTAGCGAGCTTCTCAGTCAGCTTCCAAAGACGCAATGAGCTACCTCAGCTCTCCCACCACCTTCTAAGGATAGGTGGTCGGAGACTCATTCTCCTGTGAGCTACCTCAGCTCTCCCACCACCTTCTAAGGATAGGTGGTCGGAGACTCATTCTCCTGACGGGGCCCAGCGAGTAGTCCAGCCTCAGACTCCTCATGCTGCTGCTAAGTAGCTGGGGTTTGCGCCAAGCACACGACCCCGACACCTCATCAGTTGACTCGCTGACATCTCCTCCATCATTAGGAGCTTACCAGTGAGAATTCTAACACATGCAACCTTGGGCATAGCACTAAGGGAGTGGTCTCTAAGACTCTCATCCACTATCGTGCCTCTTCAGCCCCCTCAACTACCATAAGGGCCTCTGGAAATGATCGAGTATACAGACTAATCGCAAGCATCATCGGGGGTAAGACCCCTCTTTCAGATAACCTTATGAATGCCCCATGTAAGAAGTTCAAGATGCCTCACATAGAGAAGTACAAAGGTGAGGGAGACCCCTCCGAACATGTTTAGAATTACTATGATGTGATGAGCATACTCTAAGCATCAGAAGCAGTCATATGTTGATGCTTCCCCATCACTCTTTTGGGGAGTGCCAAGCTTTGGTGGAGCACTCTTGAGAAGAAGTCCATTAGCAGCTTCTAATAGCTCAGCCAAAAGTTCATCCATCACTTCCTGGCCAGCACCAAGCAGAAGCTACCAACTCATGTGTTAATTTAGATAAGGCAAGGGGCCCGAAGAGAGCCTTCGAGACTACTTCAAAAGATTTCAGGCTAAGAAGTTAGAGGTTAGCCCTCGATATGACAAGGAGCTACCTGAGGAGCACCGATTCATCCCCAAGTCAAATCTCGATGCAAGGAGGTCAGTCCTCGAATCCAAGATTGCTCACGGTAAAGCTTTGGAGCAATTCTGTTGGCCTTCTTGTTTTGATGATGTTTAACAAACAATTTACCACTAATGTTGTTTGTCTAGTATGTTTTTTGTTTTTTTTAGTATTTGTGTTTTTGTATTTATTGTAGACAAAACAACGTAGTTGGGAGATTGGGCATGGAATTCGCGCTTCAAACGATCATATCCAAAGGAGCCGTGCGGAGAATGTCAGGTGAGCCTTGGCAAATTCAAAGTTAAAGACAGTTTCAAAGCTTCATGCCGCATGTGTACCAAGTTGAGCCTTCAATGAAAGATTCCAAGCATCAAGCTTACGCCGTATATTTAGCTACTAGGTTCTATATTATGCTGTCGTTTATATATCTAAGCTCAATATTATATTCAGCACACATATTATTAGTTTCTTAGTATATATATATATATAGTTTATATTTACAGTATACATCTTGGTTTTTTAGTTATATCCACAAACAAAGGTTTTTAACAAATAAAATTCAAAAAGATGTTGTATACATGCTTGTTTTCTATGTGGATAAGTTGTTTTGTTTAATTTCATAGATATGAAACAAATATATTTCATATACATACTTCATACGCTTTTTACTTTCTATTTGTATACTTATAATCTTGTGAAAATTATTTGTTTTCTTGCGTGTATAGACTTAACAATAATTCATATACATACTTTTATTAAGTCTACAAAATCATTTCTGTAATGTTCAAAACATGGTTAAGCTAAAATGTCAAGATTCATATGTTTACATTCTCATGATTTTGCGGCACTATTTTGCTAAAATGATTGGTATTTCTCATTTGGGGAAGTCTTTTTAGAAAACCAGTTTTTGTAGCATGTGTATTATCATGTCACAATCATTCCCCAAAAGTTTTAGCATTTCTGAATTTGTTTGATATTTTACAACAGGCTTCTTAAAATCAGCAAAAAACAAGTTTTTGAATATGCTCAGATTTCGCGTCGACGCCACCGCGTCGACCGAACATGCAGTTCATATCTCACTGGTGCGACAGGAGAGTCGTCGTCGACCGCTCCGGTCGAACCGCAAAACTCAAATCGGTGTCGACCGACAGAATTTCCGGTTCGACGACGATGGTCCAGAAAGTCTTTCGTGTTTTTTGCTCTCGATCGGGTCGACCGAACCGGGATTTTCGGTCGTCGACCGACAATGTAGTCGTTGGACTTCTAACGGCTATTTCCTGTAGCAGATATTCTGCGCGGCGGGGGCTGTGTTTGTCATTTGTTTTGGGGTTTTGCTGAGATTTCTAGGTGCGGTATAAATACCCCATTGGCTGCAGTCTTTTCAAGCTTAATCAAGTGAGTTTTAAAAACAAGTTTAAGGCGGACTGTTTTGGTGCTTTGTTTAAAGAGTGCTTTAAGAGTTTGCCGTTTGTGAAGATAATTTCACAAGGCGCCTTGAGGGAGATTAATCTTTTGGTGTTTGGGCATCAATACATCTCTCGCACTCTTTTCATTTATTGGGAGAAGTTTTCTAAATCTCAATCTTTATATTAACCCTTTACAATTTATTATTTTTGCATTTATAATTTCATAAGCCTAGATTTCATATTGCAGTTTAGTTTACATTGTTTATTGATACTCTTTGTTCACACACAACCTATGAGCTTATTGCTATTTGCATACATTATATATATTGCGGTTGTGGGATACGTGTGACATTGCAGTTGAGCCTAATGAGTCTTCACCTTGCTTTAGAAGAGAACAATCATTTGCTATATTTGCTGCCTTAATGTTAATCACTTTGTAAATACTCTTGTACACCGCAGTGAGGAGTGTGTGGGTGAGATAGTCGGGGATCGTCCCAAGGGAGCTGGCCGTCGGTTGACGCTGCCTAGGGAGAGGTTGTAACCGAGCACTTGAGGGTCGAGACACGCTAGGTCCAAACACTTAGTTGGCCGTGTTAAGATCTGTGATTTGCAAGCAGTGTGAGCTTGCCTAGATTTTTCGGTTAGCTAGAAAACCGCAGTGTGTAGAGAAGTTCCGCGCTTCCAACCGGATTGTGTTAGTGGATTTCTCCGGCGTAGAAATCATTATACCAACAAGACGGCTCCGGCGAGCGGAGACGTATGACGAAGGTCGCCGTTAACTCACGT